TATATATATACATTTTAAAAATATTTTAAGTAACTATTTGTTTTATGAAATTTACAAAGTAGATTTAAAATAATAAAAAAATATTTTTTCTTAATCTGATCGCGAACTGTTTAATTTTGAACTTATTTATACCTAATTTATTTATAACTAATCTGGAGATAAAACGGTGAGCACATTCGATATAAACATAAAATTTAACATTAAACCGTTGATAATTGATTATTTATCTGATATAAGATTATTTATCTTATATAGGCGAATAATTACTTATTAAAAATTTGTGCAGTTTGTCTTGATTTTAATTTGCATAAAGAATATGGTTTTAAATTACCTGCATTTTGAAGGTCACTTCTGCGCTAAAAACGATCCCTGTTTCATTCAAAATGTACAGCTGACTCAAGACTTCATTCTGGACAGTAAATGTCAAGGTTAAAAGATCTCAGCAGAGAGATCTTAATGTTTGAAAATGATTACCGAAAGAAGCACTACAAAAATAAATATAAATAAAAATAAGCATAAATATGAGTTAGTATTGTATAGTACATAAATAATATATAAATGAACATGAATATTAAGTGTAATCATCCTTGTTTACATGATGTTGGGTAAATTAAATGACACATTTTTTTTTTAATTAAACTTTCGAATAGATGTGTTTAATAAATGAAGTTAATAAGTGAACTGATTAACCTCTCTGAAATTAAATTGATTAATTCCATTTTTTATCAATTTCTTCATTTTAGCGCCAGATTATTTTGTAATATGATCATGTCTTTCATTAATTTGTTCTACTTTAATTTATGAAGTTCAATTTGATTTTAAGCAGAGCAAATATATTTGCGTAAGCATATTTAATTCCAGGAATGTAACGTTTTCATGATTCGTGGTACGGATTGCATGATACCGGTGACACCGATTGGAGGAAATTCCTTGCGCGGATCGCGACAATAAACACTAATTAGTTCAGCTGCACGCGAGAACCGTTTGGCACGACAAGAATGGCGTCATAATTAAATTAGTAAGAGTGCATCACACACTAAAATAATTCATGAGTTTGTCAGTTGTTAAAAAAAGAAATTATATGCATCACGATATATATGCTGAAAAATAATTAATATTCATTTGTCGAGAAAAAATTGTGCTCGCTTTTTATCGTGTTCATAACTTTACATTTAATAATTAATTTAACAATTAATAATTCATTTTATACATTTTGAAATATCTACATGTCAGATTTTATTTGGACAGTACGAAGATTTACTGTCGTTGATACAACCATTTCATGTAATATAAATTGACATAAATATTGATTGTACTATTAATAAATATTGCCACTCTGTTATTTTTAAATCATTTATTCACGATGACGAATCCCAGAAAGTTATCGCAGTTTTCTTTCATTTTCAAGCATTTCTCATTTTCAAAACTTTCTAGTTTTCCTTATGCAATAATTTGTGCAATAACTCAATATCTGCTTTTTGAAATATATAATACATATTTATTTATAAGAAATCTTTTATGGAGAGTTAGCATTGACTATATTTTTGTAAGATTTTAAAAAATATCTAAGATTTATTCTTTTTTAATTAAGATTTATTCTTTTTTTTGATTAATTCCTCTTTACGAGGCATAAATTAAAATATTAAATTGCCTATAACAGTATTAGCTTTATGTCTTAAGTGAGTATCGAATATAAGACAAGGGGAAGAGATAAATATGCAACACTCGAGGCGTGGCGAAATGGAAAATATATATCTTATATTTATTAAAGCTCTCCTAGAGTTACAAAGGTGATGTTTTTTGAACGGTCACGCATATTTATGCTGTACAATATTATCAACAATAGATGGCCTTTTAAACGTACATCTCTTAAGCTGTTTTATCGCTTGTGTGTAATCTCTGCTTCGGAACACCCACGCAGATACGCATGTATAATACATAATGATCGTGTGTGTCACACCGTGCGATGTGGGTCACCACAAGAATGAGCATATGTACACATCATGGGAGTGTAGTGTCCGCGAATGTATTATTATTGAAAATACCAACATGCGTATTTAACACACGTTTCGCTCGCTGTTGCGAGGTGTTTGTGCCAAGTTTCTCTGGTATCTACACGCAAGTCATGAATAAGTCGGATATTAATATATTGATAATATGGACAAGTGGCATGAATCCAGTTCCAAAAATCTCGCTGAGTTTTATGGTCTTACGTCGTTATGTGCCTATAATTTTAATCAAATTGCCTTGGATTTT